GGTGCATCTTCACGAATAAAGATCTAGAATTAGTTTAGTTCTATCATAAGAATGAACGCTCAAGTGACGTAGTTTCAGTGTACTCCGATTTTCTGAGTTTCTCGAGTATGTCTAAATGAAAAGTTATGAAACCCTTCCGGAGTAAATAAATGTCGGGTCTTCTATTGAAAGTTGCATTAGATTTTCGTTTCTATAATGATTTTTCGATTGACATTTTGCAGCAACAAAGGCTAAGCACGATACACTTTCTGTTCCTATTTCTTCGACCTACTGTATTCTACAAATACGAGCTAGACACTATTTGAGACGCGTTTTTGTGCCTCTATTTACGTAGTTTCTTTCGCATGAAAACAAGCCCAAAATATGGTGGATAATTTCAAAACCTGCTTTCTTTCTTGAGCCACTTTTTGTAAAACCATGCTAGTCCTCAAAGGACTCATATTTTTATTAGAAAAAAGAATATTCACACCAAAAAAAGTCTAGTCTTTGTGAACAAAATGCCAGTTCTGTTGATCTCCTTATGATAAGGGTATGGGAACGACTCGATAATCTAGCAACAAAAACTAGATTTCGAGAAAAAGACGAAACATGGAAACTCAAAACTCGATAAATGATAGGGTTTTTATTACTCTGACGAAATTGATCGTAACTCTGGTACGTTTAGTGACTTGAGAAGCTTATCATTGATCTTTGAGGTAGTCATGAAGCGTGAAACCCAAATTGTTATGAGAGAACTTTGATTTGCCATTCAAGCGCAACAATAAATTTTTCTGCTCGAAATCTTCCAAATTCAACTGTAATAGAGCACCAAGTCAACAATGAATAACTGCTATTTATACAGCATTGCACAGAGTACCCTGCGGAAGTGTATTAGTGATGAAAAAGTCGAAATCGTAAAAGTTGTGTTTTTGGATCTGGGAACTGGGTGGTGTAGAAAAGATGTGAATGTTCTGTTCAGACCTGATAAATAGAGCACATGTTTTTTTTTCGCTATCAAGTTTTGGTTTATCGATCAGTTAGCAAGTCACTGTATTTCACTTGAAAATTCTACTGCTCAACGGATGACAACACTGGCTTAGACTTAAGTTTACAGCTCTGAAAGTCTTTTAGTCCCCACTACAATCGGCGTCATAACTTGCGTCAAAGCCATCATCACCACCACTGGAGTTATTGATATCATAAATCGAGTTCGATGAACCATGTAATGGGTCAGTAATCAACAACATTGAGGACAAGAGTGTGATATAATTTGTTTTATTACGACGATTTGGTGTAGTACTTATGATGATAATTTGAATGGTAAGTAGCATTCCAGTGAGCAGATGTGTTCTTATAAGCCTTTTTTAGAATTTCTTTTTCGATTGAGTCATCGTGATTAAGCAGAATGCCGCATAAACCAATAGAAGTTTGTCGATAATGTGTCGGATATGTCAAATGTATATGCCACATTTAATCTATGTCGAAGGTTGGTACGATCATCTATTTTCGTAAGCCTAATCGTAAAAATAGTTTCTAATTTTGTACCATTTGTGGAAAGAAAGAGCGATCTATTTGTTGTAAATTGCATGAGAAGAGGAAATGACACTTGAATTTTTCAAGAAAAGCTTCTTGACGAAACACGGCTTGTGCCAAACCAATTGAAGAAATAAATGACGAATTGCGACGATTTGTTGATGTCCATGAAATAAAATAGAGAACTAATGGATCGAGAAGTTGACCGCCTGGAAGCTATGTTGTACAATCATTATAATAGGTTATTGAATGAAGACGATGAACGTGCCAAATCCAATGAATTCGCCATGGAGAATAACTATACAGAAAAGAGGTCGAAGCGAATCACTATTCCATGTCAATCTTAATAGCGATTTGTTTTTCTTTTAATATTATTCAAATGTCGGATACAATTTGAATCACCATCGAAAAATTCTCCACAGGAAATGGTTATTGTTTGATCTTACTGAACTGCAATGCCATACGGGCAGTTTTCTTACAATATCATTCATTGTGTAGAATACAATGAGTAACTCAAAAAGAAAACATGAAGTTACGGCAGAGATCAGAATGATGATTAAAAGAATATCGCTTAAATAGAGAATGATGAAACAATTGAATGTCCTTCGGGAATGTTGTGCTGATAAAAGAAACTGAATACATTGATGAACTTGAAAATGAAAAAGCAGAGTTTTTTACTAATTAATTATAACAATATGAAGACAAAGAACATTTGCCTATGGATCTTTCAGCATGACTTATATATAACTACCTCGTTGTTCATTATTGAAGAGCTCTTCCTTATAAGCAAACGCTTTTTCACCACGATAATCAGCAAAAAAAACTGAGCTTCGTCGCTTCCAGCAACGGGACACTCCTTGTTTTACGAAACTATCGGAACAGTTTCGTCACTATTTGACCAAATTCAAAAATACATCCCTCAAACTTGAAATTCTAGAGACAATATGATTCATAGTTCGAAAGCACTGAAACAAGTTTCGAATCAACTATAACCTTTCTCTTATCAATACTCTTCCAGACGTTGCACCGAATGTATGAGAAGATTGTCTTGTTATATCTTGACTAGAATTCAAAGAAATGATTGGAAAGGACTTCTTGCAACAACTCTTCGATCAATAAAAACGACTATTTTTCCTTCTTTGTCAAGTGTTAATAGTTTTGATATCTCTTAAATGTTCTATGCATGGATGGAGAGTGGATTCGAATAAGTGTAGGAAGTCCGTAGTGCGAACATCGAAAGAAAAATGACATGAAATGATATTTAATATAAGGATGTTCTGATTGAGTAGAGAGCTTTGAAGCTTTAAATGGCGGAAAAAAATACAATATTTTCTGTAAAGCGACTAATGCAACGAAAAGATATTTTCAATGCCAAACAAGCTGATTCTAGTCAAAATTGATATTTTTTTGTCGCCATACGGCTACTTGACTGACAGATTAGTCTTAAGTAACTTGAAAAACTTATCTTATGAAATATAACCTTATATCTTTTGTAAATAATCTCGAGCTTTGATCTTTCATAGACAGTTATCATTTCTTCGTGAGCCAGTTTTTGGCAATACTTATGAATATAAACATTTAATAGATTATGTTTTTCAATCATCTCTATATCATTAATTACTTGACGCAGTAATAGAATATGATCAACAAAATCTTCAAACGATATTTTCAATATATCGTCGTATTTCTTATCGGTTATCGCGTTCACAGTTGAGTTCAAAGAGACTTGAGAAGAATTTTCCACAAATTTACTATGAAAAGGTGTTATGGATGAGTTTGAGTACTTTCTTGCTCGTCAATGTATATTACCCATCGAACATTGGATATTATGATTGAATAAATTTACTAATTGCGTTTGTCAATTGAACCTTGTAACTAATTTACATAGTAGTCTGCAAGACTTCTTATCAACCATGCATAATATTTAGTAATAACGTAACTTACACCCATGCGGTTTTTTCCACGCATGATTCATCCAAAAAAGTGATGCTAAGCGGTGAAAAATGTATTGTTTATTCATCAAAGATTCTACAATTGGTTGTTGTACTTGATGAGTCACTAACTGTTTCGATTTTAGGTTTCTTCTGTTTTTTTTCATTGCTTTTGAAGAGAAAAAATGTAAAGATGTAACACAGAACGATTAAAGAACAATCAATTATTAAACAGGTTTTTGTTCGAACGGAATCCTAGCTACCCAGAAAAACATGGTATGTAGGGAAAAAGTATAGATATATCAAATCGAATATTAAGAGAGCCTTGTATAACACCCGGAAAAATTAGTAAACAAGGTTTGGAACAAGTCATACAAGCTAAAGAAAAGAATTCTATGTTTCAACAGGGAACACTGCCATCAAGTTAAATACTCATTATTTTCATGCTTATCTGAAGTATCATAAAGACAAACACAAGTGAATGATTCGGCACTGTTTTCTTCTAGATGATTAATCATCATAGTGTTGCTGTATTGTGTTGATCTGTCAAAACAAAAATTGATTATTGGCGAGGGCCGTTTGTATATTAAGATTAATAGTATGATCTTCAAGATTAATCATTATGATCGATAGATATTTGATTTTAATACTTTCCGAGCAGCTTCTATATGCCAGCTAGTAAAAAAGTATTTTTTGCGTATTTGTTGTTGTCGCATCACAGAAATAGCAAAATGTATTTTTTGAAACAAAAATGTTCTTCGGTACCTAATGAATTTATGTTGCCATTTGGTAATAGCAGGTCGCTATGGGTCAAGTTTTGAAAAATTCTTTGTTTTGTTTTCACCTATCAAATGTACTATTTTATGCTTTGTTCATTTATTTATGAAGGTAATACAAAAAAAAGACGAACCAAATATGTACAAAGAAACCAGACAAATATATAAGAAAACAGTAACAATAAATATTAAGAATCATTTGAAAGAAAGCAACTTATTTATGATGATAGCCATTGAAACAATTATTTTCATCCTCCAAACATAAACGTAGTTCAGATTTTCTACATAATGTTTTTGTATAGCCAATATAGCCAAGATTTTAACAGCGACTCTTTGCTGCTTGAGCAGACCAAAGATTGTATTTATCAAGCCGAGCATTGACTGATGCCGTTGGACTCGGCACAGTTCTAGGCTGAGTTAGAAGATTATTTTTCTTTGCTGCTGATTGCAAAGATGGACGACCACGTTCTACTGGAGGCGATGACGACAGGTTAGATTTGAGAAAAGTTTCAGTTACATTAATATGAAATGCTAATGAAAGCATGATATTCTTTTCTGAAACTTGAAGTTGTGAACAATGGCGACAATGCAAAAGCCAACCATTCACTAATCAGAGATCAATAAGATGAAAAATAATCTTAATATAATACTTTTGTGAGCGAATATTGATACAGTATTGTGAAATCAGCAGATCGATCAAATCTACTCCACCTATGTGTTGATTAAAAGCTTGTATAACATTCGGTCTTCTAATTTATTCATGTTTCTTTTCCTTGGATGTCTATCGCCGGACGAAATTGATTCCATAATAACCATGTGATGCTGAAAGACAGTTAACAACAATACTATCATAATATCTTGCTGTACGTACTTGACCGCCGTCAAATTCGGCTAAAGTATGAACTATTGCTACTCGACCTTCATTTGATAAATCTTTGACATTTTTCATAACCAAATCAGGCAATCGATATAGTCTTATCATGGCGACAGCATAAATAGCTAGCTTTTGCAGTTTCATTTGAAATCGAACCGTTTTGTAATAATTTTCACAATACAGCTTATAATTGATTCAGTGTAGTACTGTTTCGCACAGTTCAAGAATAGTTTTTTTTACATGATTCACATTTCTGCTTATTGTCTGTACGTGTCTAGAAAATGAAATCCTAACATATACAGCTTTCATTACTAGCTAAAAGAAACGTTTTGTAACCCCAACGATTCGATTTATTTGATATATGCTGCTTCATAATACGTTTTCCATTTGAAATGTATTATTTATTTATCTGCATTCAATTTGTTGTCTTTTTTTTTTTTGTGAAATTTTCTTTCATAATATTCAATAATGAACGTACTTTATATCATCGATCGAAATTTGAACCAATATCATCCGATCGACTTGAGTTATCAACAACATGTATATATTTGTCTATTTCTAAAAATCAATTTAGACTCATAACAGTACATATGGATTCAATACGAGTAGTATTCATCCAAAAGAAACGCTATCACAGAAACGAATGTATACCAGGCATTACCAATAGTCTGATTAGATGATCCATTTCACTTTCAGAAATATGAAGTAGCTTATTCAGATCTGTTTACACAGAATATAAATTTCATTAATCTGTTAAGTTTCATCGAGTTTTTGCCGAACATAAAATGAAAATAGTTAATTAGTTGTAATTCTATATTTATTGCTGGTGGTGGTACAGTGCCAATAAAATCTGCTACGACAGCTGCAAAAGTTTTCTTTTTTCAATTCAGTTTCTTCTGCTTTTTGATTGTGGGTCATTCTGTTCAATGTTACTCTCTTCACTTGATGAAGATTCTTCTTTCATTATTAATTTATTTAGTAAAATGCGTTCGACTAAACTAATATAATCTTCTGAGTGAGATGAATTAACCTCCTCGTCATCAAATCCATTTGGGTATATTTGCAGATCAGCGAAAATACGTCACCCATAATCTATGATGTGCTCCTGCCAGTTAGACCGATTCTGTAGGGGGTTATCGTCAATCTGCAAAACTACTGTCGTTTAGCCCATAACTAGAAAATATCCAGCTCATGATATTATTCAACCAATTTATAATGACAAATACAACAGAAAATTCATAACTCTGGATAGACCTAGAATTTGACAAACGACCACTATATAGGGATCGTACCTTCTATCTATAGCAACTCAAAAGAATGATGCATAGCGATAAATAAAGAATAGATTCTTCACCAATAATGATATTATGTGATAAATGACCTTAGAATCTATAACGTAGATGCCGATAGTACACGTCCATGAATTATATTCAAACATACTATAGAGGTCACTGACGCATATGAAAAGATGATGATATGTTTACATTGTTCTGAAAAGTTGAAACTGGCTAGACGAAAGAATTTACTGTAAAAACAATAATAATCTTATCCATAGTTTTTCTCTTTCCAATGAGGAAGCCAATTTCTTTGCAAAAAAACAATCATCATTTCTCCAATAACAAATTTAATAATGTAATATCATACTCCCATTGAAAAACAATTTTTTTGTGTATTCCGATCAGAATATGAATGGTATCTTCCAATTAACGGGAAGAGATCTATTCCGTTCTCAGTAATAGGTCCTAAAAATATGCCAGAGCACCTTGTCCTGACGATTACAGACGAAAAGCGACTTTAGAAATTTTTGTTTCTTTACATCTGGATGTTGTCAAATGACAACATTCGTATTTTTTAATGTCCAGATGCACTGAAAAATCAATCTTAGTGATGTAATATACAAAAGGTCTACGAATGAAAATTGACTGCTAATTACCACCGACATCGAGTATCCAGATGTACGTGAAAATATCTCTTATGATCCAGATGCTCTTTTGTGTCATTTCGGATGGATCCAGCCATCTTCTCATTGAAAAGGATTTTTCTGGTTCTATGAGTCATCAAAATGTGCTGAAATGTGTTGTAGTAATTATTGAATTGTCAAAAGAATAATATAGCGTCACGACAAGTCGATCCTTCGCGAAGTATTGGCTAAATGTTGCTAAATGCAGCATTCGATCGAAAAGAGTTAAATAGTAGAGAAAAATAGTTATGTTTGTGCCATTTTTTGCGATCTTATTATATATACTATATACGTATATATAATTATGTCGAATAACTTATTTTTGATTTATTTCTAATTTATAGAGATCTTGTTCCTTATAATAAAAACTTCTGCAGTAATGAGGCATTTCAGGAATCTGTTAAAGAATTCTTCATAGTAACTTGAGTCCAATTTAATTCAACAGTTCAGATTCAATAGTGTCATGTACTTATAAATATTTCAATCAAAATGACATTCATTCGTAGTGTGAACTTTTTCTAAATATACTTCAAACAAAACGATTGATTATTGATGATGTATGAATTTTGTAACTTTTCTCTTGATTAAGAAATTCTTTTTACAAAATTGAAATATTTCTGCAAAGTTTAAATGACTGTTACAAGAGCATTTCTTTTAATAGTCCAAGACAAAGTCCAATGAAAGATTCTCATCATTTTTTTTATAATACATCACAAACAGAAAATCGCTTACGAACAACTAGCTGAGAACTATGTTTTTGACTGACAGTAAATTAGCATGTTCACCTGTCATAAATATTTTTCTTTCATATTCTTCTTTTCTCTGTATCACACAGTTTACTCTACTTTTATTCACTGACAAAGAAAATCATGTCGTCATCGAATGCAACTATAGATTTTAGTGCATACTTGAACAATGCATCAAATCTTCTCAATCGTTATCTACCTATTTTCATCTATATTTTTGGTACGGCTGGTAATCTTCTCAATGTTCTTGTCTTGAGTCAACGAACTCTTCGTTCAAATACATCTGCTATTTTCTTACTTATCTCATCAATCGCTGGTCTCATTGTTATTCTTAGCGGTCTCACCAGTCGAATGATGTCTGGTTATACAACTGATCTAACATTGACTATCGGTTGGATTTGTAAGCTTCGAAATGTTGTCCTATATAGTTCAAGAACAATCAACTTAAGCATGATTGCTTTAGCAGCTATCGATCGATGGTTATCATCTAGTGTCCATCAACATTATCGACAAATGAGTACTTTAAAAAATACTTGGCGAAGTATGTTTGTGGTTCTAATTTATACGTGCATTCTCAATACTCCAATAATCTACTGTTATGAAGCTAATCTAAATTGGACTCTACGTCGATGTTATGGCTCAACGTATGCTTGTCGTCTCGCAACAGATCTTATATATGCATTTGGTACGACATTATTGCCATTATTGTTGATGATCATCTTTGGTTTGATGACCATAAATAATGTGCGTTGTATACGTAGTCGAATAAAAACGGTGACTGAAATGGTGATCAGTCATACAAATAAGAGTATTGCAACAAACAAAAACGGACAACTACGTGCAAGAAAAACAGATCGGCATTTACTTATAATGCTTCTCGTACAAGTCATTTTGCTAGTTTTATTCACATGTCCTCATGCTATTCAAAAAGTATATTCGTCATTTGCTTCGAATCCACCGCCTCAATCATTGCAAAGCGCTATTGAAACCTTTATCTTTGATTTCTTCACACTTCTTACATTTATCGCCAGTGGAATGCCTTTTTATATTTATACATTAAGTGGCGGCAGTGTATTTCGAAATGCACTTCTCAAATTAGTCAAAACATTTATTCAAAAGATCCTATACCGTTACTCTTTGAGAGCTTTTCAAATTTCCAAATAAATTGCACTATCATCAAATCAATTGTTGATACAATCCTGTGCAATGAAATAGAAGATAGCCTATCAACCATCAACAGAATAAATGAACAAAATATCAAAACTATTATTGAGCAATTTTATATCGATTGTCGCCTTGAGCACATAAAAGATGTTTGAGAATTACAAAGTCGCTTATGAACTTTTTATTGACGTACAAGAGTTTGATTTTTTTGAAAATGAATTACTCATTATGAACAATCAAAATTCAAGAATATTGATTTGAATAATTGTAGATCATGTTAAATATATCTCAGTTCAAAGAATTTGAACATATCAACGATAAATCAATATTTATAGACAATTTTTTTACAGGAGACATTAGGTAACATAATTGTTAAATATAAAATTATAATAGACTCACTAGCTACATATGTTATTTTGACAGTTCGATTTGTTTGAAGATGAGGTAAGTTATCTGTTAAGAATGCTTCCAAGCCATTAAGAATTGATGTGGATACAGAAACTTCAGTCTTTTTAATTTAGACATCTAAATGAGAAGCATGCTTATAATTGAATAATGATTGCAATAATCTACAACCAAAAGTACTTCGATATTGCTTTTGTTTATCCGAAAAATTATTGATATTTATTGATACATTTCAATATATGTATTAATAAATATTCAAAGAACTCATAATAAGTATATTTTCTAGTATCACTTGTGTCAGTATACAGTCTATAGAAAGATATCTAAATCAATTAAGTTCTTGTAATGTAATAAATCTAAGAGGTTGTTGATGTAATCATATTTTGATACTCAGAGAATGTTATTGAATAAGTTTATTAACATTTGTATGAAGAAATTGAAAGATTCATTTACTATGATCTTGAACAATATCTTCGACATAAATAATATAATTTATTATGGAATCTGATTTTAAGAGAGTAGTAGAAATCAAATTGTTATTTTTGTAATCGTTTTTTAATCGAATACACAGCAAAAAATGGTTAGATGGAATTAAATGATCAAAATAACAATTTAAATGAGTAAAATATTCTTTATATATTATGGAATAAATCACAACTTCTCATTTGAATATTCATATAGGTGAGTACGTACAAGTATACAGTACACCAGACCAGACTTAGAAAAACTTATCAATCTTATTTTTCTCTAAAATTCAGCGGTAGATTATGCACACCAAATTTAATGGTAGTATATAATATAAATTCCTTCGTACAGAAAAAATAAAGCACTATGACAAATAACAATTGGATGTTGAATTTTGAACAAAATCAACTCAAACAAAATACATATTAATTTATATTGATCACTCATAAAACGTCAAATAAATAAAAATTTAGATATATATATATGTATCGAATACGACTAGATCATGGGAGATAACTGAAAGCAAAACAAAATCGTATCCAAAATGACCTGATTATTAATTTTTATAGAAATAGTTTTAGTTCTGTACAACTAATAATATTGCTGAATTGTTTTCAACATAATCAATAGACTGAATGTCAAAATGAAGACTTTGGTCAGTACATCACCATCTATTTGATTAATAAAGAAAGCTTAATAAATTGTATTGATAATATGTTCATTCCAGAATTTTTCAGATTTTTCTCATCTTCTTCTGTCAATGAGCAGTTGTTGATCAGTTATTTAAGAAAAATCAATTTTGTACATCCGGATCCATTGTTAATTTACAATAAGTAATTGTACTTTTGTTTTCCAATCGTTTCCTTTTGTTAGATAGTAAGGAAAAATAATCTTCAAAAAAAAAAAATAAAGGACTGTTTATGGAAGAAGTCGACCCATCTTCTATCTTTTAATAACAACGAAAACAGTTCATTAAAATCAATGAGATGATTTGTATCTTTTCTTTTGACTCTCTGTGTTTGATATCGATCATATTTCACTTCATTGAAAGCTCAATCAAGGACAAGTCGATAATTTTCTAAGTTCATTGGTTTCAAAGAGTGCATGGAGATATTTGTTTACGAACAAAGCAATTGAGATTAGAATGAGTTGCTATTGTTGAGTGAACATCTGTCTAATGGAAATTTTTAGAGTTGACGCTTTCAGGGTGAATGTTGTTTTTGTTATTTAAGCTCTTCTCCTACAACTAAAGTCGCTCTATCATGTACTTTTTTGTTCAAAATGTATTAGTTAGTGTTTGGTTATTGTTTTTTGCTGCAGTTTCTTTCGAAATAACTGTGGATTGACTTTTGAAATAATACGTTAGCGCTGCTGGTATGAGTATGAAAGCGGAGGGGAGGGGTCGGTTTTCTCTGTGTGTGTTCTACGTTCATTTGCATCCTTGACCACATTCACAATTCTCTGTCAACACCACGCAGTTCGTACGAAATCGAGTAATTGGTGAGCTATCTTATTATCTACTGTGGCTAAAATCTATGAAATCCGTCGGTTTTCGTTCATTTTGCTCAGACCACCATTCACAACGACGAAATCTTTTGAATATTCTGGAGTTAGATTCCTCATCAACGAATGAAGAAAATCTTGCAATACTCATTGCACATCAGGGCTCGAAACGGGCCGCCCGGCCCGATGGCCCGGCCTGGCCCGACCCGGCCCGACCCAACCATCTCTTCGGGCCGGACCGGGCGGACCTTCGACGAAAAACTATTGGGCCGGGCGGGCCAACATTTTTCTCGGGCCGCCCGGCCCGGGGTAGGTTTTNTATCATGTACTTTTTTGTTCAAAATGTATTAGTTAGTGTTTGGTTATTGTTTTTTGCTGCAGTTTCTTTCGAAATAACTGTGGATTGACTTTTGAAATAGTACGTTAGCGCTGCGGGTATGAGTATGAAAGCGGAGGGGAGGGGGTCGGTTTTCTCTGTGTGTGTTCTATGTTCGTTTACATCCTTGACCACATTCACAATTCTCTGTCAACACCACGTAATTCGTACGAAATCGAGTAATTGGTGAGCTATCTCATTATCTACTATGGCTAAAATCTATGAAATCCGTCGGTTTTTGTTCATTTTGCTCAGACCACCACTCACAACGACGAAATCTTTTGAATATTCTGGAGTTAGATTCCTCATCAACGAATGAAGAAAATTTTGCAATACTCATTGCACATGCACTCTTGTGATATGGTTCATCGACTATGGGTTGAAAGGCATTAATTAGCTCATGTTGCCAAGAATCACACCAACAGTTTGAATGTGGTTGAGGTACGGTATGTGTAAAGACTAGACACTCACACTCTACATCAGCATCTTGAATAACGTACTTGGCATCAATATTGAGTGCATTAAGTTGACCAGGATGTTTTACATTCGCCAAAGTGTCCGAATTTGAAAGGAATGATTCATCATTTGCGAATACTTCCTCGCCAGGATCTGTTAACTGTATTGATGCATCAGCAAACCGTAGTTTTCATGAATATGATGAAATCAATGAAACCTGCATCTTCTTGGAACATTCATGAGCACGGCATCATTCATAGATGATATCGCCTAATTTGAACACATTTGACACAGATTGTTTCTGCTAGAAGGAAAAGAGGAAGAGAGATCATATAAAGATGAAACGAAATATATAAGCAACTAATGTCTATCATCCAGAGGTACAGCTTATAGTATTTTGACGGTGGCAGCGAGACATTTCATTCGATAAACATATCGATACGGCCTCTTTCCGGATTTTATGTTCAAATGAGAGCAACAAAGATTTGCCTGTTCGTTATTTCCTATGGAGACTTTGACTCACTTTTTTTACAATCATCAGGTCTTTTTATTTACCTTTAGAACTATGATAATGAGCGACAGTTAGATATTTTCATATGTGTGTTGTGTTTATAATGTTTATATGATGTTTTTATCACACCACTAATTGCTAAATTTTGATATTGCTTACTTGCATGTGTAGGCACACACAAACCTTCACATTATTCACGCATTACTAGTTTTAATTACCTATTCCTATCGTTTTTGCTGCGTCTGTTTCGCAATAAGGTATGGCTATCAACGGTGTTGAAGCACTCAAAGGAATATAGGACTATGTATGTATCATGAACATTACATTTCAATTGAATTCGCTTATGGTCTTAGGTCGATGATGAAAACTGTGAAGCATTTTTGAAGGAGGTTGGCATTGGATTCGTAACACGAGCGATCGCAAAAAAAGTCAAGCCTCACATTATCATAAGTGAAAACAACGGCAAATGGACGATGCGTGGTGAGAGTATTGTAAAAACAGTTAGCATCAAGTTTACACTCGGCGTTGAATTCGATGAAACAACTCCTGATGGTCGTGAAGTGAAGGTTTGGATTTATCTTAATATTTCTTTTCATTTATGAGTGCAAGATAGGTTATGTTCGAGTTAAGTCTGAATGATCACATATAGCGAGAATTTCTCCACTACTGACATGATACTATTTCGATTTCATTCAAGAAAACAACAGAATCTTCATGTGAATTGAAATATTTTCTATATCGTTGTCTTTTAGTCAACTATTCGATTCGATGATGGAAAGTGGATCCATACAATGATCGATAAAAATGATAAAGAGTCAATGGTGGTATGCATTGTTGACAAAGATGGTCTGCAGCAGGTTGAATGTTTATATCTCGTCTTGTCTTTTGTGTACCTGTTTTTTTAGGAATATAATACGTGTGGTTTTGTAAAAGCGCGTCGATGGTACAAACGTGCCAAATAAACAATAACTGAACACCAACTCTTTTTCTCCTTCCTTTCAATAAGCGAATATTGATTTTAAAGATATCCGTTCGGGATCTTCTCAATGACCCGTAATAAACACTGATGATTCGATTCATTTTATCAGCTGACTATAGAATTTCTAGTTCATCAAAGCAAAACTATCTACTATAGGACCTCTAGTTGAATTCAATGAAGCCTTAAGCTTATATGATCAGTTCTGCTCTCGTACAATAACTCGAAGTTCGGTTCAATGCGATTGTAATTTATCTTGCTTTGCTGTTGTTATTTGAATTTTCTGATAAAAATCAGTGTTTGTTTGATGATAGATCAAAATTGTCGCAAATTGTGCACGAATGAGTACAACGAGGACGTAGAGTTGCCAAAGAAGGTTCTCATGAAAAAAAAATATCAGCAGCAAGGAATTTTTAGCTGTGCTCGAAAAAAGATCGTATTCTTCCTGGATTGAGAGTTGCTCTGGATAACCCTAGAACAGACAAGCGAACTAAACAAAAGCAAAGAACAGGCATTTCTTGGTAGAATTGAAATCTTTTGCGTCAACATGGAACGGTTCAGAAAGTTCCAAAACTCAGCCAGAAAGGAGTTCGAGTTATCATTCTATTTTTGAAGCATACATCAAGCTTCCACATGTAGTGTACCTTATCGAGTGAAATTTATGGTCGGTTTGAAAAATATGACCAACTTAATAATTTCTTTCCCAGAGCTTATAAACTTGAGATGGTATCGGTTCGTGTTTTTTTGGGGAACTGAACGGATCCTATCTCTATTATAAATGTATATTGATATTTGAAACTTTTCTTGCGTGATTATCACTTAATTGTATGTAAACAGTAAGATCAAAAATCCACAAAATCGTTAATGAATGTTGGCTTGCAAGTCTTTTAATTTTAACCTTTACTTGAAGTTTCATTTCTTAGTTCGTCGAATTCTACTAGTTTCAAAGTCTATGTACTGAAAAGATGTGCCGAATGGAACACATTCAATTCATTGGTCAGAATTATTACGACAGACTAGAAAGACATATTGATTCATTGAAGAAGTAAAAACCCAGTATAACGATATTATTAATATGATTCAATTGAAGAATCTAATCTTGAGATCACATGTTGGCAGAAAGTGGCTACCTCCATAGTGCATATGGAGATTGAAGCCACTGTGTAGTCTGCACAAGCTAATGTTCTTCTTATTTGCTAGAATTGCTATATGAATTTGCCATTTTCGTACAAATTGTCTGCCATTGACAGGAATGGGCGACTAACAGCGTCGAGATCTTACATTGTATTCAAAAGCTCGAAATTCAATAGAATTGAACTCGAATTACACGAATCGAATCGAAACTCTGGGCTTTTCTTAGTTCGTAACTTTCACAAGTCTTCTTATATACTCAAACAAATGCTCTCCTTTGTTCCAAACGAATCATTATTTGAAGCTTAGTAAAAATAAATTAATAACAGCGATGAAAGCATCCACCTATGGCTTGAATGTTTAGGTTGCGGTTGTGTGTGTTCTGCATTCATTTATGTGTACATAGACACATCCCTTACGATGCTTTTCCCTTGTACATAGCTATATGAATAAATGCAGAATCCATTGAATTTTTTCCACTGCTTCATTCAAAATTTCTTTGAATATTTTTTTTATTGATGATTATCGGTAGCAATAAATCAGAAAAATAAACCGTAGGAAAAAATGAAGTTCTGTCTACTTATGAAAAAAATAGGCCTCTCATTTGACTTGATAATATCATAAAAGAAAGGACATTATTGTTCACAAACGATGGAACAAATTAGTGGTAAATCGATTTTAAATTGAAATGATATAGTTGCTCTGAATGTGATTATATATTTTTTTCTTTTCATGAATATGATGCAAGCTTATTAATTCGGCATTAATGCAATGTTATAAAAGTGATGAAATGTTACATGAAAGTAATGCATTACTTTAATGTTTTTTTTTCTTATACAGACATGACATAGCAACGAGCAGAATAGTTCTATATATATATAATGAGGAACAATATCAAATTAGAATATAAAAATAAACACTATGTTTTATAGAACGTGATTAAGATTATGAAACAAACAATTTCTAATTCAAAAATACTATGATTTTGGTTTTATGAAAGAAGCTTAAAAGACTTCGTATATTACGTAGATGTGAAAACGATAGAATTATTCAAGTGATTTATTGCTTTGTATGGATATAAGTGAATATTATGAGTAATCGTTGTGTATACTATCGATTGAAAAAGAACAGAGAGAAAATATATAGAGTTTTAGTCTATTTTTTTCGGCTTGTTGATCAACACAACACATGCGAATGTTAATCATTTTGTCTTTAATTATCTTTTTATTAAAAATAAAAGGTCTGCTGATTTATTATTTTATTCTACTATTAAAATAATTAATTTATAGGTCAAATTACTGAAGCACCGAATTATTTTTGTAATCAAAATAATCTTTCAGTCAAATTTACATTATCTCGTTCATTTCATTCTGCATGGAATTTAGCATCAGAATGTTTTTCACCACAATGTGATATTCCTTCGAATAGTTACACTTGTCGTTCATCATCTACACCTTGCTTTAACTATCGTACATTTACTAATAAAGGCTACTGTGCACCAGGCATACTATGTTCGATTTTGGAACCATGTAACAACATTACATTTACTTGTTCATCAAATACGTCGGTATGTATCAGTACTTGTTGTTCACCAAAAGCAGTATGTCTGCCATTATTATGGACTTCTTACTGTTTATCAGGTAATAACATAATATTCTAAAAGAGATTACACGTCTTAATTTTGTTTTTTGAAGATAGGAATAAATAAGATTAATATCTAATATCTTTCACTACATTCATAATCGAAAGTCTAAAGTGAAAGACAGACTAGACACTAATTGTTGTCATCTAGTGACTTTTTGCTCAATGTCAATAATATCTGACTGATAAAGTTATCTAACAACGAAAATATATGAATAAAAAAATCACAACTGAAATATTAATTAATACTACAATAACAAATTTAAAAAATAAGCTCTTTCTCTTTTGTCAATCATGCAAAAATTCTGTAAAATTTTCAAATAAATTTAATAATAGAAAACAATGATATATTCTTTTATCTATTTGAATATTTCTGTTTAGGGTTGTCAAATACTGGCAAAATGATTAATACACGATATGGACATACATCATCTGTATTACAAAATGGAAAAGTATTAGTTACAGGTGGATATGGCATTAATACTTATCTAAATAGTACTGAACTGTATGATTCTTCAACAGAAATATGGGAAACAACTAATAGTATGTATGATGCACGACTTTGGCACACAGAATCAGTGCTAGACAATGGAAAAGTATTAGTTACTGGTGGAAAAATTAATGATACTTATTTGAACAGTGCTGAATTGTATAATCCATTGACAGGAACATGGACAATAACTAACAGTATGAAGAATAGCAGATGTTTGCATACAGCTTCGGTATTATTGGATGGAAAAGTTTTAGTTAGTGGAGGAACTGATAATTATATAAGTAGTACTGAATTGTATGACCCATCAATAGGAATTTGGACAGAAACTGATAATATGAATAATGCACGAGAGTATCACACAGCATCTGTATTATTAGATGGAAAAGTATTAGTTACGGGAGGGATTTCTATTTATTCAAGTAATCCTCGATTGTATATTGAAGAGATAGTAATTGGCATGAGAACTGTTAGTGAGAATAAAACACAAATTAATAGTATATACCGTAGTATTATAGATCTAGATAGTGCTGAACTATATGATCCATCAACAAAAACATGGACTATAACTGGTAGCATGAATGTTGGTCGATATGCACACTCAGCATCCTTGTTAAGAAACGGAAAAGTATTAATTGCTGGAGGAATTCATAATGGTACTATTTTGAATAGTACTGAATTGTATGATCCGTCTACAAGAACATGGAAAGTAACTGGTAGTATGCATAATGAACGATATGATCATCAAGCATCTGTAATAACAAATGGGAAAGTTTTAGTTACTGGTGGAGGAGTCGATAAAAATTTATACAATGCTGAATTGTATGATCCATCAACTGGAATCTGGACACTAGCTGGCAAGATGAACAATGGGCGAATTTTGCATTCGGCATCTGTATTAAAGAATGGAAAAGTATTAGTTACTGGTGGTTTTAATCATAATGTAACTCTAAATACTGCAGAATTATATTAATTATCACAAACCAATGAACAATAAATTACTTCTTTTATCCTTTCTTGATTCACGTATTTTCGACCTGAACTGCTTTCTAAATATGATCGATTTTTTGTCCTATCGTATTTTAGTTGAAAGTATTTAGTTTGTTATAAACTTATGATATTTTATGCTTCTAGTCTATTCTTTTTAATATAATAAATCTTCAAACAAAAGTTACTTTTCATTTCGACAGACATTCTTGTTGTTTATTATGAAAACTAACGGTCTGAATGCAATAAAATCCTGAATAGATTTTCTTAATAGAAAATATAATAACTCATAGAATGAAGCATATTTCTTTTCTATTACCATATGGTTTTAAAAAAAATAGCATTTAAACATTTTCAACATTAATATTATAAAATGTCGAATTGAGAACTATTTATTTTCAAAGTAAGATGATATCTACGTGTTGAAATTCGACTGAAGATTTTCGTCTTCCTTTTAGCGATTGATAACCATGGAAATAGTTCATAATTAAAAAAAATGAGCTTTTAATAGAACTCACATATATTTTTCTTTGAAAATTAGTGAACATAAGTTTTATGTCAAAGTTTTCCGGCTTCCTGTCTGCTCCCTGTAGACCTTAGCAACTGAAGCTCAAGGCTTGCTGAGCATGAATACCCTTCTAGCAGCCGATGACGACAGGCATTGAACTCCTTTTTTCATAATTACTTAGCAACAGAAAAAGAGCGCCGAATGACACAAACAGCAAAGTCTAGACCGTTTCAGTAAAAATCAACATCTTCATTGAAATTAAAACGGGTGAAATACGTTTTTGCATGCTTGTTTTAAATAGCGCAGTTTCATATTTTCATACTTATAAAAAATTATATGAGCAATATCATGAATGATAACTAGTGATCAATTGGTTTACCATCGTCGTATTTTAATCAATACAAAAAAAACACGAACTAACTAAATTCTAGCTTTCGAAAATGATTTATATCAATATTTCTAAGTTTATCAAGCTAGATAATAGAGCTTCGAGACCTATTGTCGAAATAATGAATGTGCACAATAAGCTTATTTATTAGTTAAATTAATGATTAGAATAAGAATAACAGTAATAGTAAATGAAGAAACATCGAAGAAAATAAATAACGAGACAAATAAGAAATAGTGCATAAAGCAAAACCAAACAAAAGAAAATAGATTCTATTGAAGAAGCAAAGATAAATAGGTTAGATCATTTCTCGAATGATTGGTTATCCTTGAAAGACAATTATCGTGCGTTAGAAAATTTCCACTTCACATATTGTATATTATTATTGTAAAACTAAAAAAAATACATGTGTATTCTACATTTTATCTCCAACAAAGCTGCGCTAATAAACTGTTTTGACGAATTATCTTTTGTTGCTATGATGATTGTGTATTGTAATATTCTTTAAATTCGTATTTGATAATTGTAGAACGTATGTAGATCTACTTTGCGCAGCTGTGATTTAATGACAGATAATTTGTTAGTATTATTGTATACATAGAATGAGAGACGGACAAGCAAGGTATGTGCAATTTGTCAATATTACTATTTTTGAATGAAAAAAAGGAGAAATTTGTACACAATACATTAATCAGTATTTTCTTTCATTATCATTCAGCATAAATGATTTTTGTTTAGGAAAGAAAACTTAATTATTAAGAGTATTTCTACAATTTCACTTAATTGAGCATTACAAATATTTTCTGTTCAATGATCCGTAATAATATATAAGCTGGATGATTAATTATATATATTCTATTGATTGATGATAAAAACAAACAGTATATTGCTAATTCTATTGATTTTATTTTTATAATTGAAACTCACTCCTGCATTTATTTTATTATACTAATTGAAGAAAAAGAAAGATGCATAAAATAATATGAATGAAAAATTCGGAGAGTCTTCAATGAGTTGTAAATGTAGATGTTTTAGCTTGGTGGTGTAATACCAGGTATTGGAGGATAGTTTGGTTTATTTCTAAAAGTAAGAATATCCCTATTACCTATTAAGAAAAAAGAATAAACATACGAAAGAGATTGTGTGTTTCCAAATCGTTCACCAGTATCCATTCCAAGTGCACCAGCTCCAATACCAAAACCAACACCACGAATACCAAACTTACGAGTATAGCATTGTTTACAATATATATCACCATCATGTTCTGAAAGTGTTGTCACTTCTAATGCTTTTTTACAAAGAGCTAATTTTATAAAATAAAATGACAAATGGGGTATATGTATATCTTTTTTTGATTTATTTACCGCATCGAAAACAAGTTTTATGCCACACTTTTCCAGCCGCAGGAATTGATTCAGCATGAAAAGCTGCATGACCACAACGAGGACAATGAGGGGTTTCTTGATTTTTATATGACATTCTAAATGAAAAATGGACATGATGTATAGAATTTGTTAATCAAATATGTTTCGCTTACTTTAATTGGTTTTGTTATAAAACCCAAATAAAACACAATTTGTGAATAGCAAAGAGCTCTGATGCAATTCTCAGAATTATATGTATACGTATATATATATATATGTATGATGTCTTCTTTTTTCTGCACTATTTACGTTTAATCTTGATGAAGAAAAAAAGTCATTAAGAATGCATCACATCTAGATAAACAAAGTAGGAGGAAGGTCATCCCTCATTTTTCTTATACTATAGAACTAATAACGTGTGATACGTAAAAGAAATAGTATCAATGAGAAAAAAAGGCACGGAATCTATCAACATAAATTGGTTTAGCTGAAGAACGTAGGTCACCAATATTTTATTGTACATTGAAATACATATTAACGATGCCATGTCAATCTTTGTTTATATGATATTATGTTAAGAATGTTATATTTGTATAAGCAATCTAGTTTTATATATGTATATATGTTGTTGCTTTGACAAATTGAAATGACAAATTTTATTAAAATCAGTTTCATTTTTTCAATTAGACCATCTTGTTTTTATTAATTTTTTCGTCTAAATTTGATTTGTAAAAGTTTATTGAAGTGAAAAAATCAAGGTTGTCATATGTAACACGTTTGAGTCTTTTTTTCATTTTGCTTGACACAATGAATCATACGCTAGAAGAAGTTATCAAAAATTTTCTATTTTAGCCGGAGAAATGTTTCTATAGCTAGAGAATGCATATATTACTATCAAATTAATTATACTTGTGTATCCATCCTTTCATTGCTAGTTTAAAATTATAAAAGAGCATGATTTTGTCATAGAATCGTTTATCTCAATAGACTATTACTAAACATTCTACAAAATGGATCTTCGAAAGTACTTATTATATATGGTTGCATTTGTGTTTCTCTTCCGATCTGCAATGTTATTTTCAATAGAAATTGTTATTTACACTATAGACCTGTTTTGAAACTTAGATGGATCTGTTTGAAACATAGATATTTACAAGATTTCATAAACAAATAACTGAACATATTAAATCTTAGAGCATATTTCAAGTGATTGAAAATAATTTTTATCAGCGTCGCAGTGAACGTTACTATTCATGTTATTAAAGACAATAAGGTCCTGTAGTACAACTATAGGCCATAAGATCGTATTGTCTGACTATCAAACGAACTCTTTGAATGAAAAAATAACGTTTCAGAAAATATCTTTCGAAATAATGGAATGAGGTTCCATTATCTTTTTAGTAAAATATGCTTTGTATTCTGCATTTTAAGTAAAAGCCAATATAAAGTTGAAAAATTAAGCTTTTAACTATTTTTGTCACCATGTTAGATGTGTTGTAAAGTCCCTGATGATTTTTTGTCTTCTGTACAAAAAAAATTGTAAACTCATATTTTTGTGATAAAAATTTCTAAACATAAACGGATTATCTTTTATTTTAATAATCAGAGTTCATATCCCTATAACCAAACATTTTCGTAAAGTCATAGGTAATGCACAAGCTTTGTAATCTTCTTCTTTGCTTTTTTCCGTATTTATACAATCACGTACAAAACTTTTGAGTAGAAAACATGAGGTTAATGAAAGCTTAGTGATTTGTCGATCAATGTAAAGTCTTACATGACTATCCTTCTCTTTCCAAAGAAGAAATAATTTCATTACTGTAGAAAATGTGTCTCGAAAATTGCATAGTCTTTAATGACTGATATTATGAGAAAAATTTGATATCATTTTTTTTTCGAAATAGATACCCATTTGCAAAAGTTTGTGGACTCAATTTTTTTTTTCTTTATAATATGTCTTCCTCATATGATAGTTGTTAATGGAAAGATCGATTTCATTTGACAAGTATTTTTTATGAGAAAAGATTGTGATATAAAATTCCAAATTAATCGAATGATCGAAGTCTTCAATACCTTTCGAGATAGATTAAAACTTCTTCTGCAACGTAATCAACAGAAAGAAACATCGAAGCATTCTCACATTGAAATATTTTTTCGAAATGTCAACTAGATTGTTGTTCAAATAATTTATACAAACAAGATGATACAAAAAGTCTTATCATTGATTTAGAAAGCGTTAGTTTGATTATTTTAGTTGAGGTTTTGTTTTTCAAATCCAACTACAGAAAACGACGATCATTTTATCAATTGATACATAGTTTTCGACAACATTGAAAAAGTGTTCAAGCCAATCACTTAGTAAGATATATCGAAAGAAAATCTTTGTATGTATCTCTCTATCTGTATGCAAAGAGTATTGAATATTATTGTAAGTCATGATAACAAATAAAAACTTTTTTCGTGCCTCAATGTTGTTGAATTATAGATGACATTAGTTGTTAATTTAGAAAAAAGATTCATCGGCAAACTGTTTGCATTGATGTATTCAAAAAACAAATATGCGATAGGATGTCAACTCCCAATATCTTTATTTACAAATTACAAAAAGAAAACGCCACTTTCTTCTTTTTAATCATTCGTGAGAATTGAATCATTCTTCAAATACTTGCGTTATTACAGGTTTTCTTCTTATAAACATATTGCTACTTAACTCACGACGACAACAGAACGAGAGTTGCTTTTTTTTGCACTATATACGCAAAAGAGCAAAAATGACAAGTGAAGAAAATTACTTCGTTGAAGAAAAAGGAATTGATCAAGATCGTGTTGTTGATGACCGACATCATGTGGTCAATGAACTTTGTTGCGCAATTTGTCAAGGTCTATTATGGAAGCCAAGATCATGTGCTTCTTGTCAACATTTATTTTGTAACCAATGTATTCGAACATGGCTTAAGTTCAATCCAACTTCATGTCCGTTTCGTTGTTCTCCATATGAAGAAAAACGTGCACCACCACATATTCACTCTCTTCTAGGTCGTTTATCCATTCATTGTCGTAATAATTTATTTGGTTGTACAGAAATTCTATCCTACGATTTATTAGAACAACATGAAAGTGTAGAATGTCAATTTCCAACTAAACATTGCAACACATGTGGAAAATATATACTAATAAGTGAAATTGATCAGCATAAAATGCTTTGCATACCTGCAACGATTCAATGCTTCATATGCAAATGTTTTGTTGACCGAACTGAATATCGACGACACACGATTAAATGTTGCCAAGAAAGATTAGATCTCTTAATTGAACAGATGATACCATCACCAGATGATTTTGAAATACCCGAGAATAATAATTTCACTTTTCCACAGGAACATGACAATGGAACAGGATTTACTCAATTATATAATCAATTACAACGATTTCTATCTGTGATGCCTAAAGTCAACCTAGTTGAATTCGATGCAGTTGTGCAAGCTCGTCAACAAAATTGTTCTGCTCGAATTTGGACTATGCTTCGATTGATTCTGTTCAATAAATCACAAGCCGCTCAAATTATGTTTATTCTTTTCTGGTTTGGCATCGGAAGTGTCGTAGGTCTTTTGGTATGTCTTTACTTATTCATACAACGACAAGTTGCAATTGCTATGTGTCGATCATTTGTCTTTATTATTCTGTTCAGTGGATTATTCAGTTTTGGCCTTCCTGTTCTACTTGCATCTGTTAGTGATACATGGATCATTCTACTTACTATCGTCAGTTTGATATTATTGAGTTCGGCATCTCCAGGGCTACAGTTAGACTATATGCAACTAGATCAAAGCAATAAATTGTTATTAGTGTTATATTTTATTAGCCTTCTTGGTTTCAAACTATCTGTATTAATGATACGCTTCTACTGTAGTTGTATACCTTCGTATATAACGGCAGGTTGTCTAGCTTGGATTACTATTTTTGTAACATTTCATGTTCGTCGTTTTTCTATTGGTACAAGATAAATTAATTTATCAACAAACAATAGTATAAGAGACAGAACAGATCTAATACATTTTATAGTTTTTGACTTGGCATTTCAATTAAACTTGGTATTTTTTTTTGTATACTTCCATAGTCGAGATTTGACTTATTACTAAAATAAAATTTATTAAATATATATCGTGTACATAACATAATAAAAGTCAGTAGAATAGATGTATCTATAACCAATACAACGTATATTTGTTAAATAAAAAATTAAAGCTTATTTATGGATGATAACAAATCTCAGATCAACTGGAATATTCATTACGACTGTTAAACACATAGAATGTGTTCCTTATATAATCATTTTTATAAAAGAGACTGTGACTCACATCAGTGAATTTTGTTATGTATAAGAATCATGTGCAATATTATTTTCAAACAGTTATCGTCAATTTAGTTATTTCAGTACGTGCTGATTCATGGTCGAGACCTCATAGAATGACGTGCAAATGCAATGTCTATGAAGAGAAACGATGAATAGATTTCTTCTTGAAAAGATCTATATAACTTCTGAAATAGAGTCTATGGTATTGTCGTTAGTAAATGTCAAAATTAATTTATACTTCTCAAGGCAAACAAACATATCTCCATTTTGACCTTTAGTAAACTTTTGCTTTTCATCATATTTGGAATTATCGATGAAGAATATTGCCCATAAGTAGAATTGGAAGGAGATAATTTGTTTAAATTTAGTTACATATGTTTTGATTGATACCTTTAGAGTTTCCAAAAATGTTTCGACTCGCAATGTTTTTATATTCAATCAATTTTTAGTTCATGAGTTTTGAAGAACAATGTGTAAAATATTCATTATCTAAACGTTAAACCCCTTGTTTAATCTATGGACCATAATACAATGCAATGAATTTTCACAAGGAACTTCTTTACTTAATTTATACTGTGATCGACCATTTGAAAAAGAAAGACAATTTTACAAAAATTTATCTACTTGTAAAGAATCTATTAGCTATACAAAACATATTAAAATTTGATGTGGATTATTTATGCATTTACAGTTTGGTTTTCAAATTATTCAGTTTGTCTTTTTTGTCATGAATATTATCATCCTATTGCATTGATACTGTATTGGTGCGTAGTGGAAATATTATCGAGTATGAAAAGACTAAAATATACATTCTAACCCGAATTTAAATAGAGATAAATGAATTTCTAACGTCTTCTTTGAATTTCTATCTACCTCGCAAGAAAACTTGAAAAAATTGTTTACTCTCTGTCAACAAAGTACAAGATAGCGGCGAAAATATGAAAGAATTTCAACGTTCTTGACTAAGAAAAAAAACCAAGATATGAGTGATGAATCGAAATTATTTGCTCTATTAAAATAATTTAGAAACATGTTTTCATTGCAAGATAGTAGAATGAATTTTAAAAAAATATTACTTGTAATCCTGTGGCACATGTTTTCAATCAATGACTAATTACTATCGCTGTAAACTTATGCGAATTTCATATTGTCTTAGCTTTTTATTTTGATGGTCAACTAGTTTCATAAAAATTGATCGAAAAAACTAACTCTTGTGTTATGTTGGATAAAAAAAACACTTCATTATGACGTTCGGATTCGAAATCATTACAATTTGTTCATTCGCAACTTTGTTGGGTTTTTCAACAAGCTCGAACTTAGATATCTTAACGTTAGTGCACATACTATAGTTCTGTTTATTCCTTTCTTTTCCGAACATAGAAATCTTCTTTGTAATTTTCTTGATTTTCAGAATTCTTTTATTTTGTAAATCATATATTTCAAGAATAAAGCGAAGAAAAAAAGTTGGTAGTCACCAATCAATGTTGCTAGAAAACTATTTTAAGACTTTAAATTACATGTGTCCGTTACTGTCTCCAATCTCTCTACTGATAATTAGTTTGAAGTAAACCGACGGTTAAATTTTAGTATCATGCTACAGAGATCTCTAATTTTTCAGATTTATTACAAGTACTTCCGGTGACTGTTTCATTATATAGGAAAATAAACGTTTGAATAAGAGTAAACTATGAATAATCATTGTTTTGAAAATGTTCAAGACTGTTGTTCTAATCCTAAAGTAGAACTAGAGTAGGTACCGTTTTTAGTCTCTCTGTCATTCCATTATCATTTTAGTGATAGGTCAAAAACTGGACCCTAAGTGAGCATAGTCTATACGAAGATCTTGATGATGCTTTTCATGGACTGAAGGATTCATCATTAAGTGGAGCTGTTGAGTCAGTCGAACGACTTCAGGTACACATTTCACACGAGGAGCGTAACAAGTCAGGACTAACCGATCCTGATATACTCATCAAAATGCTTTACATCAGAAAGACGAGTACAATTCAGCATATGGAAAACTTTTAATCGAAAAGTTTGCAAACGAACGAGTTTTTTATTTGACAGTCAGAACAGTTTGTTCATTTTTTCGAGCTTTTTCAGCAATATAGTATTCAATCCAAAGCACTTGTCTCTTTTCGTGCGTGNTAAAAAACGACGTGTTTAAACGCTCAGTTTTTTATATTTTTGCCGTTTTCACGCTTGAAAATTGACTATTTTCCACAAAAAACGTCGTTTCTTGCGTTTTTTTAATGAGCGTGAATGGATCACAGTCGCGGTTCCCGATTGTGCGTTTAAACGCGTTTTTTGAAATTTTTGTCTGCTTGGGCAGTCGAACGACTTCAGGTACACATTTCACATGAGGAGCGTAACAAGTCAGGACTAACCGATCCTGATATACTCATCAAAATGCTTTACATCAGAAAGACGAGTACAATTCAGCATATGGAAAACTTTTAATCGAAAAGTTTGCAAACGAACGAGTTTTTTATTTGACAGTCAGAACAGTTTGTTCATTTTTTCGAGCTTTTTCAGCAATATAGTATTCAATCCAAAGCCCTTGTCTCTTTTCGTGCGTGACGTGCATCGAACTTCAGTTCTATACATGATTCATGAGTATACTAAGCTTACTAGAATCTTCGAACACGGACTTACCCTCGCTAGTGTTCTACTGTTTTTCACTTTCGTAACATGAATTGCATGTATCTCCTCCAGAATTACAACGCGAATACCACATCAGCTCTAGAAACGATACCAGACCAATCATAAAATAAATATTCAAAATTTGTTTCCTGATTAACTTAACTCACCAGATATTATCAGCACAGACTTGTTGATGTTATCGGTTTATGTTTCCTCAGTTTGCAATGCAGATTGCATGTACCCTTCGAATGCAAACAAAAATAATAGAGTTATTGAAATTATATTTCATTGTGTTTCTTATACTTGAGTTGCTTCATTTAATATAGCACTTCTGATTTCGATGTATACCTTCTTATATATCGTCAAGCTGTCTAGCTTCAATAGCTATTTTTTTTTAACATTTCCTATCTGACGTCGTATATATAGTATTTGATCAAGCGTACTTTAATTTATAAATTTTACACTGGTTGTAATTGATTAAAGTTTTTTTTTTAAGATAAAATACTTGTTTCTTATAAAAAGATCTATTTATTTAACAAATAAATTTTATTCAATATGCACGATTTGTTAATATTGTAGATACGGAAAAAATTGAATCTTCTTCATTGCACCTCTATTGGTTAAACATAGAAATAAAAAATAATAAACAATGCAAATTAGTCAATGTTCTTAGAAATCAAGCATAGACTATGCTTCGTTTGTATCAGATAATCTGCCAAAAAATCTACACAGCTACTAATTCATCTAGTGAGAGACAAATATTGTTATACCATGTAATGGAACTATTGGTCACGAGTGTATCCTTAATCTATTCGAATAAATCGAGTCTAGAGTTAATAGGCCTTTATTATTTTCCAAGAGGATATAAGATATTGAATTACTCTATGCTTTGAAGTGTGTAAACTTAAAACAACAAAAATTATTTTGTAAACATCATTATAACTCACTTTTTTTTAAAAATTGTGAATAACTTTATTTTCTGAAAGAAAATTTTGTTTGATGACGATAGAACATTAATTATACTCTAAAAACTAAACAAACACTAGAATTAAAAGGAAAAATATTATTCTCAAATCAAATAGCTATTATTGATCAAACCGAAATTCTTATCTGCTTTAATCTCCATAAATATTTCTAAAAATATCCGCTAATCTATAATAAAAAAAATTGATTCATATGATGCATAAACATTCCGTACATTCTTACAACTTAGCTGCCTAATCTTTAAAAAAACTAAAGTCAGGTTCTACCCAGATTTGAACTGGGGTCGCTGGATTCAAAGTCCAAAGTGCTAACCGCTACACCATAGAACCGTGTTAATCCATCCTTGTATTCTGATTTCTGTTTTAATAGTCACCTTCAAAATAAAAAACACGATTTGCACAAATCTTAAAAAAAAGCAAACTCAGGTTCTACCCAGATTTGAACTGGGGTCGCTGGATTCAAAGTCCAAAGTGCTAACCGCTACACCATAGAACCACGTTAATCCATCCTTGTATTCTGATTTCTGTTTTAATAGTCACCTTCAAAATAAGAAAAACGATTTGCACAAATCTTTAAAAAAAGCAAACTCAGGTTCTACCCAGATTTGAACTGGGGTCGCTGGATTCAAAGTCCAAAGTGCTAACCGCTACACCATAGAACCTACATTGATGTCCTTTGATTGTTGTCAAATAAAGTTGAAAACCAATAAATGCTATTCGATAAGGAACAAAGTGGAAATCATCATAGAAAAAAAATCGATTATTCACGTTCTTTAGCTTTCATCAAAAAGATTTCGAAATGAATCTCAACATGTCTATAAAAAGAAAAGTAACACTTTTGATTCTTTAATATAATGCGACACGTTTGAAATTTCAACGGTTTTAATTGCGTATATTGTAAGCGCTGCAAAATTACATTTTAATACTTCTAGACGTAGCAATTCTTCTTTCTTCTTTTTTTTGATGGATGGTAAATATTTATGAAAATATTAAGTACAACATTTTGTTTTTTTTTTCCGTTTGTGTAGAAAAAAATACTTAACTTCTTTCAGTTGTTTAATTGGTGGAAAAAATTGAGTCCAATCAAAGAAAATGAATAAGCACTATTGACAGGTTATTCATAATAACGTTTTTTGTAATTAAATTTCACATATCATTTTTCAGTTCAATAAAATGAACTAAAAAATTAAATTATTTAAACTTTTTTCATTGCCATTTCCAATTTATTCGCTAACGAGATTTATTTGAAGGTTGTTTCGCGTGTTGCTCTGTTGCATTTGAAATAAAGTTCTCTCAGAAAAGAAACAGTTCATCTTTTCAAACAATTGAATACTTCTTCTTTTTCTCCTCAATAAGATCTAATAAGTTAAATTGTTTTCCTTGTTCTTTAACATATATGATTGTTATTGAACTTTTGTCAATGCCTGACTTTTTTCTCTTCATTTGCTTTTTTTGTGTTGGCAGACCACCTGTATGAATTAAAAGCAAAAAGTGCTTGACACAACAAAGAAAAACTATATACTAATGTAATATAATTGATCAAGGTTTAATAGCAGATCGACATTAAATCGATTCGAGAAGCAGAAAAAATTCTCCTTTTGTTAATGCTAATGTAAAAGAATGAGCAGAAAGCAAGGTGATTGTGCCACTTTATGCTTATACACTCTAGAATAGACAAATGTAAATAAAAAAAAAGTCTGATTTCTCTCTCTCTCTCTCTCTTCCCATCACTCCGACACAAGTTCACCCACACATGCGATCGACAGTAAAGAGAGAATTATTCTTTTTTTTTTTTTTCTAGTTATATACGTGTCATTTAAAAGAGGGCTTCCCTCTTTGATGAACAACTGAGAATGACATAACAAATATAGACATGAATGAAGGTGACACCGAATAATTACGAATAACAACTGGAGGTAACAAAACAGGATTTCTTTTTTCTTTAGTTGACATGATCATGTTTCTTTTACAAAATATTATTCATAAGGTTCTTTTTTTTTTGTTATAGATGGCATTTTCATTATCAACGAAATCTATTGGAAAAGGACCACGATCTAATAGTACTATCCGTACAGCAATAGCACGTGATTATGATCGAAAAAAATTGGCAGCAAAACATGAAGTTAAACTTGAAAGAGATTATGATACACTTGAACGTAAAATGATGTCACGTGCTAAATGGAATCAACGTGCTGAAAATAATAATCTACGTCCAAATCAAACAAATAATAATAATAATAATCAAGATCGTACAACAATATCTCTTGAACATTATATACAAAGAGAAAAAATGAAACAAGATAATATCATTAATGCAAAACATATGGCCAATGAAAGAATTCGACGCTCTTCAATAAACACCTTGCCAAAAGTTTAACTTTTATTTGAATAAAAATAGAACAAAAAATTCTTTTTTTTTTGATCAAGAAAAGTCATGGAAATTCGTTCACTGTTTAATTACATGTAAGGTATTAATAGAAGCAAAAACAAAAAAAAATCAGTTTTTTGAAAAAAAAATCTACAAAATATTATAAAAAGAGAATATGAAATATGGACGGAAACCATTGAATCAGATCATCAGCATTAATCATCAGGTCTTAAAAAAAATAATAATGAACTTTAATAAACATAATGCATAAATAAATTTCATTTTCAATGAAAATTCACTGCAATACAAATTGTATGTTTATTTTTCTTCGGATTCTAAAATAAAATTTTAACAGTTGTGAAGCAGTTTGCTTCTTCTTATTAACAATTCAATTTGTAAAATTTATATCAAGCAATCAACTTAAAATGAAGTATTTTTACCATCATATTGACAAAGACTGTTACGTTTACGGCATTATATCAATTGAATAGGATTCAGAGATTAGATCAATTAGGTTTGAAATTTTACAATAAAAAACTAGGCCGGTTCGGTATTGTAGTGAGATTCTTTGCAGTTTAGAATGAAAAGCATGCATTGTTAAGCCAACAATGCTTTTTTATCAACACATTAAAGTCTATGACACAGCTATAAATAATATATGTTTGAATTTTGCATTAAAGCAACCTAAATTGAGTTATGACGAATCATTTTTATTGAATTTCAATTAAAATAATAGAAGTACATTTGTAAACGAGCACTTGAAATTTATGGTATATGATGCAGAACTTTATTGAGCTATTATCTATCAATGAAATATTTCGAAGATAGAAATTCCTCAAAATAATTAAAAATTAGCCGTTTTCTCTAGAATTGCACCGAAAAAAAAAAAGAATCATTTCGTTTCATTGACAATTTGTTTGTTCAATAATGAACTACAAATAATTAATTTCTGTCATGTTTTAGCACGATTTATGAAAATTGTTGTAAGGAAAGCTTATATTCAAAGAGTGAGGATGGATTTTTCAATTATTGAATTCACATTTCAATGATTCATGAACGTATAGTTTAAGATATTTATAAGATCATTATGCTTTGGAGACCTTAGGACAAATAACGATATAGAGAGGTGTCGTTATCAACTGAATTCAAATGCTGCTAGAAAAAATTGAGGCTTGTATATCGTCCTCAAAAAGTATTAAAATGTTTTAAGGTTTTAAAAAAAGTATTCGTAAACCAGAAACAGTATCAACAAAATAATATTTTCTTCGAAATAGAATAATGATTTACTGGNACTTAATAATTGCAATATATTCATTATTTCACTTTGATGGAGCATTGAACTTTTTATTGCAGGTGTTTTCATTTATGTACTGAAGAGAATGTGAATACATGTTTTGATAATGCGTAGAATATATAAAGAATTTTATTACGCATCATTCCTACATTTTATTTAAACGATATGTCTATTTCGAATAAAAAATATGTGATACTCAGAAATAAGATCTTTATATGAATAATGGATCCCAAAAATTTAAAATAGAAAAAAAGAACGAATATATTATTGTGCCCGATAGAAAATATTTCAAGCAACTTTCTTTTTGGATTTTATCACGATTCATTTATAAGTGATAATCTATATATATATATAAATATATAAAGAAGAATGTCTGTCTGTCTGTTTGTTTGTTTGTTTGTTTGTTTGTTCGCGATTCACTCAGTTCCTATTACAGCTAGAGTCTCTAAACTTTCTACAATTCTTTTTTGGATCCTATGAAAGGTCGACATCCACTTTTTCCGAAACAAAAATCAATCGGTCGCTTGCTGCAAGCTGCCTATGTAACTGACCAATAGGATTGCAGCATTTCCAAATATTCAAGTAATTGGTAGCGAAGGCGGCTGAAGGCCGTCTCAGTGCACATCTACGACAATTTATACGTTCCATCTATCTATATACCTGTATATATATGTGAATTTGTTTAAACTATCTTAATATCTTCTACATATACATGTAAAGAAGAATACCTGTTGGTTCGTTTTCTCTTCCCTTTCTCTGCCTTCTTTCATCTGTTTTTCTCTCCCTGGATACATACACCCTCCTTCGAATTGAAATTTTTGTCAATATTTCAGAAATTGAAAAATCTTTTCTTTCTTTGTTTTAATTGTGTGTGTTTTGACCATCACTATCAATGTGAATATATGCATGTATCAATATTGGCAGGACATACAAAGACAGGAAAAAATTGAAGAAATGTGGATCCAGTCTGTAACAATTGATGGTTCCAATGTAAAAAATTATGGAACAAATCACATTAAAATTATATGCTATTAATCGATTTTTCATTGTTTTTTAATGAAATAATCTCTAAAACGGAATTTTCTTCGACTGTTTCACCTATTTTCGATTATAATCGATTAAAAGTGGTCGCAGAACATTGATTTTAATTTATGTGTTTTAACCAACTTCTAATCAATTATGATTGATTTTTTTACCCAATTGGAATCGATTGGAATCGAAAATAAGTGAAATAATCGATGGAAATTTAGCGTTTTAGACTATTTGATTAAAAATCGATAAAAAAAAGTATGATTTTAATCGATTTAATGAAAAATTATTTGATTTTTCTGTCAAAATTTTTTACATGGGTTTTGTATCGTATCATACTGAGAAGTGTATGAATATGAATCGTATTCCTTGCTCAAAATGATGACGTATTTGTTCTTATTTTTGCTGACTCAAATGATGATTCAATACGTAATATGGATATACATAACATATGATTATATGATGACCATCAATCTATCTTGACTAACATCGGGCACTTCCGCTAGTAATTAGCTAAACCTAGAAAACCATACATTTTATTGATTTATTTTGAAGGATGTATGTCAATGATTGGTATTGAAATAAAAATCTGCAAGCTAAGAATATTTCTCTTGCTCTTTTACTTGAATAAAATTTTGCTGTCAGTTTTATAAAAATTTTCTACATTTTTTATCGGTATATCATGTTCTTTCTTCTGTCACAATAAAAGTTCGTTTGAAAATTGCAATATAAAAAAAACAGATCAATGGAGTGTTTACATTGTAATTATTCAATGTGTCACAACAGTTCTAGATT